GAAGAACCCAACGTATCAAATAAATGGTACAACCGGAGAATTCTGATAAGGTCGAGGTTTGTTTGTGTCGGAAATTTGGCTTTGAACTGAGGATCATTACAAGGTAACTTGACATATCTATCAGAGACGGAGCGATTGTAAAAGAAGTGCTGCTATTACCCCAAGAAAATTGGAAACAGGTTCTGTTATGCTAGAGGTATCATTTTGAAGTAGGGTGTGGATGAGTCTAGGTCGAATCCCTCATGGGGTGTTCGATAACCCTAGATTTTTGGAGGGGTTGCAAAGCTTTCCATCTCCTTGCACGGCCCTAATCAATGATGGGTGTTAAGCTGGGAGCTCATGATTCTTCTACAGTGTGACAAATTAATGTACAAAGGGCGTTGTATAACATTATATTATTAAAAGCTAGATGAAAATAAAAGTGGCAAAGCGACATATTATTCATAGCAAGGAAGTCATCGTCAAGAAACAGCAAAAACTTGCTATTGATTTGCGTTTTTCTTATTTTATTGGTCCAAAACCCACAACATGACATTTAATATTGATCCCAGTAACACGCCGTATGTTACACGACTTTTGAACTCGTCCACTAAAGCGAGTTTCATTTGGGTTTTGATTAATCAAAAGAGAAGTAGAGCTAGCTTAAGTGAAAGTCCATTTACCCACAAACACTAAACCAGTCAGAATCAGCTATGGCCCTGCGCACTTTATTAAGCAAGAGTCTACCTGTACAGTGGCAGCCAAGTGAACACCCAGCTCTTCCTCAAGCAATTCAATCTTATGAAAACTTGTAAATCAATTAAGCTTTGGATACCTTTTCAGTTGCTTGATTCGTTCGTCAACAATCTTCTGAGAGATGGTGTTGTCGAAGAGACTGTCCCAACTGCATGCTGGTGTGTTTTAGGTAAACAGGACAACATCAATACTGCTATGGACACGATGGTGGGCTGTTGGGGTAAACTGAGACGAAACGGAAATAACAGACGGACATGAAAGCTTCAGGCATGCTTGTGGCTCCGCTCCCTGTGCAAGCTCACACACGTGACTGGAATGACATGAATACCCTCAAACCTTAGAAGTTTATGTAGGGTAACTGAAATGTCCACACTTCTTGACCGAGTTCATATTCAGACTCACAATGTTATTGTGTGGGCGTCAGGTGTACGCTGTTTTCAGTAGTGAGAATAACAACCTTTTGCTGTTGGGATAGAGCGGCCTACAAAGGCGTTGGACATTGGAGGTGTATAGAGAGAGAGTAGCAGACAGGGTGTGTGAGAAAGAGAAATACAGAGAGAGTGTGTATGTGTGTGTGCGTGCGCGTGTGTGTGTGTGTGTGCGCGTGTGTGTTTGTGTGCGTGTGTGTGTGCGCGCGCGCGCGTGTGTGTGTGTGTGTGTGAGAGAGAGTGTGTGTGTTTGTGTTTTTGAAAGAGAGAGAAGAGGGGATGGGGCTTGTGAGAAAAGTCAGGAATACGCTTGATCTGTCTTCGGGTGACAAGTTACTTCTTCTTGCCGTTCAGTCAACATGGTGATTATCTCCGCTGGCTATAATGAGCTTCATCGGATACCAACTGAAATACACGTATCGCTACCTTAAAATTACAAGGCTCTATTTGCCCAGTAGTAAGTTTGAGAAATATGACGTCCAACATTTTGAGTTTCATTACATGTCAAGCTGTTTCGAAGGAAATTTATTTTGAATATCTTGATAATGTTACGATTTTGATAGAGCTGATAGAACATTTGACGTCTTAGTAACTCAAAACGGCCAAAAATGCGAGACTGAACTTTGTAATTCTAAGGTAGCGGTATATCTGCACACATCTCCCCTCTGCAACTTTTTTTTTCGTTTCTCTTTTTTTTTTTCTTTTTTTTTGGGGGGGGGGGGATGTTTTCTTTTTACTTCACTCCACCTGCTTCACAGAAGACAGGGAAAAGAGTACCCCACTTCTTGAGGAATGTACGTTTTTTTCATGTTGAAACCAGAGCTTTATTTTTAGACTCCTTTTTCCCGTACGTCGCTGTGCGTAATCACGTGATAATTTTCATCTGATTGAAGTCAGAGGTTCGTTGTGGTCGAAATAGAAGTGTTGACCCCCAGTGGTGCTGTAGATATGCCGGTAGACATCCGTCCTGTGGGTACCAGAGGAGCACGAAGTCTGGGTGTCACCTGATTGGACGGGGTCGTAGCGGAAGGGAAACGCCTCATACTCTGCCATATGTATTTCCGGCCATCTGGGTGAAAGAAAAGTACGGGAAAAGGGAGGGGGGTTGGGGTAGAGAGGTGGAAAGTGAGTGAGTGGAAACAGAAGAGTGAGGAGAGAGAGAGAGAGAGAGAGAGAGAGAGAGAGAGAGAGAGAGAGAGAGAGAGAGAGAGAGAGAGAGAGAGAGCGTGAGAGAGAGAGAAAGAGAGGGAGAGAGAGAGAGGGAGAGAGAGCGTGAGAGAGAGGGAGAGAGAGAGCGTGAGAGAGAGGGAGAGAGAGGGAGAGAGAGAGAAGGAGAGAGAGGGAGAGAGAGAGCATGAGAGAAGGAGCGTGAGAGAGAGGTAGAGAGAGAGAGAGAGAAAGAGAGAGAGAGAGAGAGAGAGAGAGAGAGAGAGAGAGAGAGAGAGAGAGAGAGGGCGAGTGTCTTGAGACACAACTGCATGGGATAGGTTTGCTAAAGTTTGAATATTCGTCACTAGCTTATTCTATGAACATGTACGTGTTCAATATGAAATGACTTAGATCTTGAAAAAAATCACGAAATATAAAATGTACGGATTACATTCATAAAGCTAAGGTCAACATCGGGTGTTTTATTTACATGTATTATGAATTAGAGTTGATCAATGAATTAGGTAAACTACGTCACACTTGGTGCTTGATTTTTATGCACAATTCACAATTTTTTTTCCACTCAGTCTGAGACTCCGGAAAAAAACAACTCAAACAGAACTGAAAAAGGCAGGAGTTTAAATACAAGCATCTAGGCAAATGAATCATCAGAGAGAACTCCACTTGTTTTTAGAGATGTTGAAACTTGAACTGAGATTGTTGAGCTGAGTGTAACCATCAAATTGAAAGATATGTTGGGCTGCCAAACAGGGCGAACTTTTTGCCACGTTAACAAAGACATAGATCTAACTCTGAACCTAGCAGTACTCCTCCTTTCTTTCCTGCAAAAGAACTAAAGAACAATGGTTTACTGAGGATTATTAATTTCTAAACAATAATCTATTGTAATGTGCACTCAATACTGGACTACACACGACCAATATCTTGAAGTCTTGACCGTTCTGGCATTGTTTCTTTCTGTCATTGCACCGCTAGTCTTATTCACTGACGTTATTGTTGGAATGATAAGCCCTTCGCCCTTGCAGGATAATGAGGGGAGATCGATTCCTGTAACAACGAAATCTATATTATTAAGTATCTCCGTCTGTTTGTTAGAATGCTGTTCCCCACTCAGATCGGACAGGCTCTTACTCACAAGCTCAAAACAGCTCGCCTTCTTAACAATCTAAATTCTTTATTTCAAGGAGAGGAAAACATTCAACAATATTATCACTCAATCTATTCTTCTCCCAAGCGTAGTGATACAACACAGCGCGGTATCTCACAAACATAACTCTCGTGGCCTAGAGGTTAAGGTCTTGGTCTCTCATTCAAAGGTCCAGGGTTCGAATCCGGGTAGTGACCGAACAATTTTCTTCTTTAAATTGTTCTCCTTTAACCTCCTTTTCTGCTCTCTACCAATGTTCTGTCGTCTGCTTTCGTCTCCCTTTTCTGCCCCAACTCCCTCATCTCCTTTGCCCCCCCCCCTCCTCCTCTGGGCTCCTGATTCTTTCTACAGCCTTTCTACTGCTACTCCTTGGCTTCTTCTTACTGCTGTTTTTCAGCCACACCCCTGATCTTCTGGTAAGAAAAATCTACGCCTAGCCTTCTCGGACAAGGGCGAAAAATCTCGGGTGGCGGCCACCACCCCGGGCGAAATTCAAAATTTCCTACCAACTGAAAAAGTTTAATGTGTCCCGCGCGCTCGTATGACCTTAGGCAGTTGCGAGCGCCGTAACACACTTACAGAAATAAAACAAAAAAACACACATAACGATACCTGCCGGTGAGCCAGCGAGCGTTCTCCGCCATTTCTCGACAGTGGTCAAAGTTCCGGACCCCCATACGTCGCAGGTCGTGGGTGTCTAGCTGAGCCAGCGCTCGTCCGTCTATGTCCAGGTGATGGAACACTTCACGGTACCTTCAGACGAGGCCAGATTTTAAGAAAAAAACTAAATTAGAAATAGGCAGGTTGATATCGACGTGTTCGTGTGTTAACTTGATTGTCTGCATGTCCGTCCAGCATGTGTATGGTTGTTTTAAGTAAAGCATTCATAGACAAGAGGCACACGTATTTACAGAAACGAAAGGCTTAATGTAGTTATCAAACATTTTTTAAATGGACACATGCTCTGTCCTCTAAAGTCCTTTTTCCAAATTAAAAAAAGAAACTCTATCGCGGTTCTTTAGACCTCAATTTACCACTTCTTCTTCCCCATGACCAAAAACTAAGCTAAACAAAAAAAGCAGTATTAAACAATTCACAATTTTAGTCAGCAGGGTTCTATATGAACGAAAACCAAATTTAACAAACCAAAGAGAACTTAAACAACAACGAAAACTACAACAATAACAACAACAACAACAACCCCCCCCCCCAAAAAAAAAGGCCAAGGCCACACCTACCCGCCATATCCGGTGAGGCTCAGCCAATCACTAACGTCCTTCTTGCTCCAGTACCAACAGCAAGGTACCTGCATTATGTGGAGGGATTTGGGTGAGAGGGGAGGGGTGGTAATCAGATATAATAGCTTTTTGACTCTGTTTATATCTTTTAGGAGATGGACTGTTTTGTCCTGCCTGTGGACGCCAGATAACATGACTCTATGGTGAAGCGGTTAGATTCTACACCGTCGCGTGTGAAAGAACTTGAGTTCGATTCCTGTTTGAGGAGGGTTTTCTGTCGAGTATCTCGAGAATGGTCTAAGGCCATTGTTAGGCACGCGTACGCCCACCTAACACTGAATTGTTCGGGGCACGTATTTTCAAAGTCATGAGTAAGAACAGATCTAGACCTACGTCTCCTTTGACGAAACTCCAGAAATTCTGTTTACCATAGTCTTCAATAGCTTCGCTTACTTTACTATTTTAAAGAAGTGAAAACGTTTCTATTATCTGTTTGTTCGTTTTAGTAAGGTTTTACGGCGCCCGCAACTGCATAAGGTCATATGAGCACCAAGGGGTGGACGTCAACAGAGAAATCCAAATGGGGAATCAGGCTTATTTTTCTCACCTCTCTAGCCTCAACAGCACAAATTGTGCTTCGACTATCATCAAGGTGCCCCGGAAATAGCAGTTCACAAAAATAGTTACAGACATACAAAAGACGTAGCGAAAAAATGACAATAGTAAGGATGAGGAAAGAAAAAACAGCAGTTCCCCCTATGTTGTTCCGGCACAGTATGAGCATGACAATGATGAATCAACCCATTCACAATTAACTGTGCATAAGAACATGTCAATCTTTGGGAATTGCCTAAAGACACTTCAGTCAGTAGCACTGACCGGGGGGTAGGGGGGGAGGGGGGGGGGGGATTTCCAAATTCTATTGAGTACCTGAATCTTTTTGCTGTGACGATGGAATAAGTAATTTGCAAATTGTCCTAACATCTTAGATATGCTTCGTAAATTCGGGATTTGGCTGTACAATCGGTTTTGGAGTAAGCCACCAGCATATTTGCTTTCTTCACGGTTAAGTCTTTATAAACGTAGCAAGCAGACCAAGGGCAATGTTGCAGCACATTTCATATCATCATACGCAAATCAGCAAGACGGATTTTCCCCTTTCATAGTGTGCATGTTGTTGTCTTTTTTAAATTGAGAAAAAGAAAACAAAATTTAAAAAATCGGAATGAAAAACGACAAAGTTATGCTTCTTCTTCTAAATGCCCCCAAACAGCGCGTCATCAACTGTTGTCGAAGGACCAGATTGGGCGTTCTATTGATGTCATATCTGAGCATGTAACGCCACATTTGAAAAAGAAATTACTTCTGTTCTATTTGGCGTTGCTATGTTCATATTTGATTAGACACAATTGATTGCTAAAAATAAATACGTGTCAAATCTGAGTTTTCAATGCCTCACAATTTCGCCAATGTTAGATTTGCTCTGCTTTTCGTCACACTTGAACCTGCTATGTTCACATTTCAAGGGGAAATATTATAGTTGTGACCTATCATTCTTGCAAGGTAGTTTTTACTTACGGTCAATCACTTGTTTGCCCCCCCCCTCTCTCTCTCTCTCTCTCTCTCTCTCTCTCTCTCTCTCTCTCTCTCTCTCTCTCTCTCCCACTCTCTCTCTTTCTCTCTTCACTCTACGCTCTCTCTCCCTCCCTCTCTCTCTCTCTCTCTCTCTCTCTCTCTCTCTCTCTCTCTCATTCTCTCTCTCTCTCATGTATGGGTCAAAGACTTTAAATTTATCCACCTCTCTCTCCCTCTATCACTAGGTCTCTCTCTATCTCTCTAATTCTCATTCTCTCTTCTCTCCCCACTGCTCCCTGTCCAAGGAGCCTTCAAAATATTTTGTCCTGACTAAATAACCAGTGTTTACCCGCTCCATGATGTCTTTTCAGCTGAGTACGGAAGTGAGCATTGACGGCTGCCAAACACTGCACGATACGACTATTGATGACGTTGGCCACTTTCTGATGGGTTTGGCTGGGCAGGGCTGGACGGGCTGGGCGGGCTGGGCAGGGCTGGGCGGGCTGTTGGGGCTGGGCTGTTTTGGCCAGTGCAGGGCGCTTACGTTAAGTTGCAAGCCCTGAAAACACCAGTAGAAAAGGTAAACATTCAGTGATTATTGACATACTCTATGGTGAAACGCCATATTGTTGACGTCAGCACTTTTTGTGATGGAAGTGTATGTTTAACCCTTTTTGTCTTTGCTTTGTGGGTTTGCATCATAGATGTACACAAAGGTTTAAAAGGGGGTAACTATGGTTTTCATACGAACCCAAAAAACACCCCAAAAACATATAACATAAAGAACAATGAAACAAATGAATATCTCAAAAGCAAAAGCAAAGAAAGGAAGGAAACAGAGAAGCAAGAATTAAAAAGAACCAGCAGTCAAGAGAATACAAAACAATAAAAATTATACACTCAGCTGTTAATATAGTGTACGGGATCCCCCTACCCCACTCTCCACAAAACCAAACATGACAGAGGATGGAATTTAGTCCGGAAAAAGTGCATTTACCTTGGATCTTAGGATTGTAAGTCTAAAAGGTTATCGCGAAGACTATAACAGAACTATCGGTCGCCTCAGTAGACGGCGATAAGTGTTAGCTTACAGTGATAGAGAAGAAGAGTATGCACCTAGTGAATGATCTTCTTTAGTTTTACACTTCATTTCATTTTTTGATAATTATTGGGCAATTTATGTTACATGGTGTCCAAAACCACCTCGCCATGGGCTGACTTTCGCCGGCCTTTTAATTATCATAGTAAAATAAAATAAAGTCTATACTGGGATGCTATGTTTGGTCAACCATTCTGTATGACTGTAAATGCTGGACAATCACTAAAGACAGTGAAAATAAAATAGAAGCAACAGAAATGTGGTTTCTTAGGAGACTGCTAAAAGTATCGTCGAAGGAAAAGAAATCAAATTATGAGGTAGTGCTTGATGAATCCCACGTGGGACGCTCAATGTTAAAAACAATCAGGAAAGGACAAATGCAGTTTTTGGGACACCTGAATAGACATACGGGTCTTGAACATCTAGCTCTCACTGGCAAAATTGAGAGCAAGCGAGGCAGGGGTAAGCCCAGAACAACATACTTAGGGAACCTAAACAAATGGGTAACAGGGAAAGATCAGGGAAACGTAGCTTTTTTGAGAGCATCCAGGCAAAGGAATGAATGGAAAACCATGATCGCCGATGTCTATCGCAGATCTGGCACTGGATGATGATGATACTGGGATGAGAGTGGCCACTGAATTACTATAATAAGTGGTCTTTCTGTGATTGTTTGTAGCACCAATGTATGATACTTTTACTGTTGTTAACGTCTGTCGTTTATGAACAAAACAAACACATTGCATGCTATATAGGTAAACAGAAAGTTTTCCGTCACACAAATGTTTACTTTCACTAAAAAAGAAGTTAATTTAGCACATATAATAACTGTGTTTTACAATAAATTACTGGCAAAGTTTTGTACAAAACTTGAAACTGCCAGACAAAACTGGAGGTTCCAGAGGAAAGATTTCAAACACATAATACATGTATGACACAAACGGTTTTTTTCAGTCTAAATTGTCAGTGTCAGGTTCTAACGAAACTTCTCGTTCCTCTGGCTCTTCATCAAGCTGTTTTCATGTTCATTGGCTTCAGAAGAGACCAAACACTAAGGTTTTAGAGGACATCTACCCACCTACGACAAATTCTCTTGGGGGGCTCTCGTGGCCTAGAAGTTAAGATGTTGGCCTCTCATTCAAAGGTCCCGGGTTCGAATCTGGGTAGCGACCCAAAAATGTTCTTCTCTAAAATGGCCTCCTTTCACCTCCTTTCCTGCTCTCTAGCAATGTTCTGTCGTCTGCTTTCATTTCCAGTTTCTGCTCCCCATCCCCTCACCTCCTTTGCCCCCTCCTCTGGGCTCCTGACTCTTTCTGCAGCCTTGCTACTGCTACTCCTTCGCTTCTTCTTACTGCTGTCTTTCTGCCACACCTCTGATCTTCTGGTAGGAAAGATCTACATATAGCCTTCTCGGACAAGGGCGAAAAACCTCGGAGGGCCCGTGTGCAAGTTGCGCACGTTAAAGATCCCTTGGTGGTCTAAAATCGATAAGAGTAGGCTTCGGACGCCACCCGGGCAAAATTCAAAATGCCCCACTAACTGAAAATATTAAGTGTGTTCCACGCGCTCATATGACCTTATGTGAGCGCCGTAAAATACTTTACAAAAACAAACAAAACAAATTCTCCATCTCCACTGCACATGCACTTCAGCACTTGGGGATCGAAGTCTTCTGAGTACAACAGCGTAGCGCTTAACCGCTGAACCACAGACGCGCTGACCTGAGTTCGATATCTCTGTTGGGAGAATTTTTATGGAGTAAATCAGACTTTCTGCATTGACGTTGTATCCCTTTCAGCCCGTGTTGACCCTGACAGGTAGGATCGAAGTCCGTTTCCTAAATGCTCTAAATTGGGTAAATGGGGACGTCAGACACATATTATATTGAAAATAATAAGTTTTGACGTTTTATGAAAAGTGATAACTTAGAAAGCTCAACAGGTCAGTGCCACGACATCTTAATCAATACCTTAACTTTATTCAAATCATTACTTTGGGATCATAAGTACAGGAAATAAAGACATAAAAGACAGAAATTCAAGACTTGGAAATTTGTCTTGCAACAGGTGCAGTAAGGTAGATCTTTTTAAAGATTAGGGGATATTCGCTACTCGAAATAAGCATAAAGGGGAATCAAATACACCGAAGAAGCAAATGACAAAACCCGGTGGCCAAAGTCACCTCATTCTGATTCATAACGGTTGGGACGACTTAAGCCACCCTCTGTCCTTTGCAACAAATAGCGAAAAATACAACTGAAATAGATATTTAACCTCTTTTCAATGCTGTTACAGATCATATTCATTTGTCTGATAATGGTTATTGATAAACGCATGTTTCAAAATACTAACCAAAATTATTCAGCACCTTTCAAATTAAAAAAAAAAAATTAAAAAGCAGACGACATCATTGAACTAGCTCAAATCCTCACAAAAAGTCTCTGCAGATCTGTTTTGGGGGAAAGAGTATTTGTTTATGTAACGAGGTTTTGGAATTGTAAGAAACAAAAGAACAAAAATAATTCTAAATGTTAGTATTGGTGCCTTGAAAAAGGACAAAAATGTTTTCTTGATGAATGACCAAAGTCCCCCTATGTATGATAAGCTAGCCGGCCAGGCTGAGATTGACGGCGCCATGCAAGTAGATCCATCAATATCACAGACAAAGGTAAGACGGGGGGGGGGGGGGGGGGGTAGTCTCAAGGGGAGTGACGGCAACCTGCGGGCAGTGCTGGGCGGTCAGGTTTCCGATTCTTGAAAGCTAGAATTCGCAGGAATCGACTCCGAACCCAGTTACTTTCTAATAATGTGATTTCTTCTCGGTGGATTACCTGGTTGGCTCCGAACACCTTCAGATTTAGGATAACCTTGATTTCGGAACTCTACTAGAACCAAGCATCAACTTTTATTTTTCAAAAATGAGTTCTAAAAAAAGGAAGATTTTTAATTATTTAAGAAACTGGTAACTGTAATGCTCGTTTACGTAAAAAGTCGGAACTTTTCTTTCGTAGCATTAATCGTGAGAATCGGTTCCGGAATCGATTCTTCGCCCAGCTCTACTGCGTGGAAAAGCAAAACCAATATCCAATCAGCTTATAACTGGCACAATCAGCAAGCAAACCATGTCATGGATCCCGGGGAGAAAGGAGGAGCAGCTATGGCATTGTGCCATCTGCGATTATACCTATTCTCCAACCAAGTAACCAAGTCCCCCTGTGTGGTAATAGTCACCACGTTTTACCTCGAACGTGAATAATTCTATGAATGACCATCATAGTTATGTGACACACCATCACCCAACACCTCCCACAACTACCATCCCTCCTCCCCCCTCCCCTTTCCCCCCTTTCTTTACATCCTAGTCACAGATCAGGGCAAAGCAAATGTTCACACTATCTCCAAGAAAGAAAAATACCGCTCATGCCTTTCCCAAGTGCAGTTTGGCAATCTGAGCACGAATATTCTTTCGTTGCTGGGAAATCAGAAATCTATCCCCAAATATTGGTGAACTTGATCTCCCTGGGAGATAGGCAGCACAATATTCTGTGGATGAGCAACAGCCGGAAGTCGCGTGTCAAATTGCTTCACTTTCCATTAATGTTTTTCAAATATCGAATGCAAATCCATGAGGCGAATCGTCGTTGCTTTTTTCCCTACAGTTGTGCAAACACTGACTGTATAAACCATAAGAAAAGGAGCAGTTCATTGTAGGCTGCATGCAGCTGGAAACGATAAACATTTGCAGTATTGCAGCCTTGAAACTAATTCATCCGTCTTTCGTAACATCAAAATCAATATTTTCCAAGTGAAACTTAATCTAGTGCTGTTGTTGAGCTTACGCACGCGATCTAGCACTTAAGCTGAACACAAACGTGGGAACGGAAATTCGTGGGAGGACGTCAAGCTCTTTTTTAGATGTTTTTATTTTTGGTTTTTAGGTTTTAGTTTACTGCATCTAGATCTAGGGCGTTTTTGTTGGGTTTGTCTGTTTTCGTTTTAAGTTCACTTTATTTCCCATATCAACGTTTAACGATATCTGGCCTTGACCTGTAGCAGGTAAGCACACTGTTTGATTTGATGTTGTAGCGTCATAAACAGCGAAGTTGGGAAACTTGACTATCATTCGAATCACGGTCACGCCACTGATTTTTCTAATCATGTCATATTATTGTGTATGCTTTGAGATGTTAACATGTCACTAATAATTCCCATTCCAGGTGAAGAGACAAAGGAAGGCAAGAGGAATACAAAGTAACACAAACTCAGTTTACTTTCTTTACTTTCTTTATTGCCCAACCAAATACTAAACCCTATGTTTTACATACCCCACTCAAAAGTCCCTTCTTGATTGCGTAGGCTGGGGTGGTCGCTCGTTACGGAAGTCCTTCCCTTTTACATATCCCACTCCAAAGTCCCTTCTTGATTGCGTAGGCTGGGGCGGTCGCTCGTTACGGAAGTCCTTCCCTTTTACGTATCCCACTCAAAAGTCCCTTCTTGATTGTGTAGGCTGGGGCGGTCGCTCGTTACGGAAGTCCTTCCCTTTTACATATCCCACTCAAAAGTCCCTTCTTGATTATGTAGGCTGGGGCGGTCGCTCGTTACGGAAGTCCTTCCGCAGAAGTCACAACACTAAGATCACTCAATTCACAGTTTATACTTTTGCAATATCTATTTACATCTAGAATCTAACCCTATTCGTACGCCTGGGATTGTATTTTCCACATAGAATACTTTTAGAAATCTAGATCTAGAAGATCTCCTTGAAAATTTCAGTATTCCTCAAAAAATCATTTTGACAGACTGCTATGCAAAGCAAATCGCAATTGATAATGTATCTTTTTGACCATTTGTCACATTTCAAAACGACCTTTTTTGCGGTCGATGGGTTCATTGGTATTTTTATAGAAGCACTCCCGTTTCGCGTCACATCCACTAGATCTACCGGATGTCAGCTCCTTCACCACTTAAGTGGCGCCGGATCGGATATATACGAATAAGGTCAGTTTTTAAAAAGTTAAGTCTCAGTTTTAGAGAAAAAAAATGTGATAATGGATGCTTTTATAGTCATTAGGGGGGTTTCAGGGGGTCTCCCCCTGACGTGCGAGTACGTTATAGCTGTGTAGTAGGGCGGGTAGGGTGCCGTAGCATCTAAACTAACCATTTGCGACGTTTTTCAGTGCCACAATCGTGTTCAACAACGATCTGCATGATCCCTTTGAGGGTGATAAATAGTATAATGTAACAAAGAATCATAGAAAAGAAGGAGCATGGAATAATTACAGTGCAGAGTAAAGTAAGCAGCCTTCCCAGCCCCCACAAACAGAAAACTCTGGACCAGGAGTGCATGTGCTACTTTCTAAAGCACCTTTTATTTACTACGTACAGGATGTCCGTTTGTACGCGATTTTGTACGGCAGATCTGCTGCATGCAGCATTTGCAACAGATGTATGGTGCTCCAGTTGAAGTAGATGAGACGTTCTTGTACATGTAAAACAAACAAATACAGGAGATAAAGCAGATAAATGACATATGTGTAATTTTCATTAAGAAGTACAGTATGTATCTAAGTTCCTTACTTTCTGAAGGCCCTATATATATATATATATATATATATATATATATATATATATATATATATATATATAAATTTTGCTTTGAGTACTCTCCAAAATGCACGCTTATGGAATGGTCCTTATTTTGGCCTTTTCGATTATATGTACCTAAATTGTATTTATTTACAAAAAAAAGAAGTGTTGGAAAAAGCTAAAACTGGAGATATCAACACGACCCTTGAAAGGAGAAGATGGAGACATTTAGGACATGTTCTAATACTGCCGAAGGCGAGATTGCCATATCAGATAATGGTATTGGAGACCAGCTGGAAAATGAAAAAGAGGTAGACCAACTCGAAGCTATAGAGGCACACTTAGGGATAAGGCAATCACCCAGGGCCTGTATGTGCCGAGTTTGGAGATAATGGCCCGGGACCGACAAGCGTGGCGCCGACTACTCTCTGCCTTGTGTACATGACGGTTTTGGGATAGAGAAAGAGTAAGTAAATAAATGTTAATTTCTAAATTGTGTTCAGTGAGTTTAAAACACCAGCAACTGTCAGCAGAAGTATTCAGACAACCGCGGTTACAAGAATGGTTCACGTATGACACCAATACATTTTCATTGTTCATGTGTCCTTCTTCTTGGGTCGGTTTTGATCACGCAATCCAGCTGTTGTCAAGCACCTGGAGTCCCCCAGCAGACCCCGCGCGGCCATGACACCTATGATCCCAAGCTGTGTGAAGCCCTTGTACCGGGCGGACGCTGAGCCCCCAGTTTCGCTACTGTTGGCCGGATCGCCGTTTGCGGAGCCGAGATGTTTTGGCTGGGACAAGCACAGGGTGGTGGAGTGGCTGGATGAGGTTGGGTTTGCCAGGTGAGGTCTGTTTGGGGGTCTAGGGGCAAGGGGTCTTAGGGGTTCTGGATATTTGAGGAAAATATGCGGATTTGTGTTTTAAGGTCAAGAGATTTACAGGTTTTTTTTGTCTTAGTTGTTGTGGTAGTAAGACACTGAAAAACCTAGATAGATAGATAGATAGATACAGAATGAGGCAGAGGACAGATAAAGAGAGACAAAGAGATAGACATCGAGAGACAGGGAGAGACAGAGGAAGAGACACCGGAAGAGACAGATGCAGACACGAAGAGAGAGAAAAAGAGAGATACAGGGACACAAACTAGGGCAGTGACAGGGAGATCGAAAAAGAAAGAAATTGAGAAAACTGTGAGGGAAAAAGTATTGACAAAAATTTGTGGGAAAATGGAGAGAGAAAAAAGGTAAAAAAAGAGAAAGATAGAAAAAAAAGAGAGAGGGAGTGGAGAGAGAGAGTGAGCGAGAGACCTAGAAAGAAGGGGGGAGGGGGGGTGTCGAGGACCCTGTTCAAGAAAAGTGGAAAAGACTAACAAGCAGCTGGGGGTCTACGATAAGATGTACCTCTTCAAGCGGTATCCCTCTTTTCATTACAAAAGTTGGACTTTTCTAATATTTCAGTGGACATAGTTTGCTTCCGTACAGTACCAAAACCTGGTTGTCTAGCAACTTATTAAAGATGTTCTGCATATTATGGTGTTGGTTTAAAGACCCTTTGAAAGCTGTAAGGTTATTTGCCATGCGGACATCTGGCATACCTGTCATCCTCCAATATGACCAAGCCATGTAGGTGGATAACTCTGAAAATTCCCCAAACAGCTTTAAGCTCAATAACACACCACTCGGGATCCGAACCGGGGTCATTCACGCAATAACACAACGTGATATCAACATAACTAATGGTACACTTTGGCGTCGGTGGCCTAGTGGTTAGGCTCTCGGACTCGCAACCGTAAGGTCGTGGGTTCGAATCCCTCAGGGACCCGACGTTGTGTCCTTGGGAAAGGCATTTTACACGAATTTTCCTCACTTCACACAGGTGGAAATGGGTACCCAGCTATAGACAGTGAAAGATCTTGTCAGTTTGATAGTGTTTGAGCGCTTGAAATCCGCAGCTTGCACTGTATGCTTCTGCGGAAGATGAGAATGTTTCTGAGTGTTCTCAGAGGGTCTGCTGGGGTAATAATGATTGTAAAGCGCATAGAGCAAACTCTTGAGCATGGATATGTGCTGTATAAATGCACTTATTATTATTATTATAAATATTACACTAACTAACAGTTTGTCCTTTTCGGGCAGAAGAATATGTTCTCGAGCATCACCAGCAGAGCTGACCAGATCTCCCACTCACAGGTACAAAAGTTGCTTCCTCCTCCGCGGTGTAACTGGCCGGACTCTTGTGACCTTGACCGCTGATGACCTCAGACGGATGGGCGTCCTCGAACAAGGGCATGCCAGTCGTCTGGCCCAGGAGATAGAGTGCTTGAATTACATGTCGAGGTCTGGATCACCGGACAAACTGCCGTACCCGTTCCACAGGTTAGGGGAAAAGAACACACAGAGCAGTTGCTGAGGCCCTCTATTCTTGTTTTCTCCCGTCAGTGTGACTAGTTTCTCGAAATATCTGTGATGCAGTGTGGTGGAATCAGGCTCTCGTAAATTGTAGGCTTGTAGAGTTATAGGTATCATCTTAAAGCTTGTTCATTTTTCTTTATTTGGAGGAAAAAAATGTCCATTTATCTTGAATACAAGTCGAT